AATGGAGGGTCACAGAGCTCGGAACGTTCAAAGGCAAGGCCACTGGCCGCCCCACATCTAAGGCAGGAACGTTCTGAAGTCCAGCTCGCACGCGTAATTATTTTGTGTTTTAAACATTTAGCTGCATGTGGCTTCGGTCTCCTGGCTGCGCCCGGAAAGAAAGCCAGACCACTGAGGCCCACTGTACGTTCTCGACGTGCCTGTGAGGAAAACCTTATTAATGAGCTTGCAAACGAGCACCCAACAGGGAAATGCCAGAAGCAAGAGCACTAATGCCCCAGAAAATCAAGTGACTGAACACTTGGCTGATTGCGGTACCTTTCATATTTATGATAAAAAAGGGGGGGCTTGAATGCACTCATTCTAGAGGGTCAACACCTTGCTGAACAAAACAACTCATTTATTTATGTTCCGGAATCTCCAGATGATAAATTACATTGATGTTAATCACTTCAATGCATACTACACAATTAATATTGGGCCTCACCAAAAACTTAAGAATTATTAAAAGTATGACAACATACACATCTGGCTGATTTTTCACATAATTGGACACAACAATTGCGCCTCGTATCACAAATAGGGAGCCTCGCAAACACCGCGAAATTCTGTGTTCGATTAATTAGGGGCTTAAGTCCACACACAAAAGCAGTTTCGAGCTATTTGAACGTGTCTTCCAGGCAGTAAAATCTAGTCTCTTCCAGGAAAGAAGAGCAGACCCCCAACATTTTGCCCCTCCTCATGGGCCCTGCCAGATTTACGGAGTTCCATATTTCAGGTACACAATGTCAGTATTCACAACTTCCGAGAGAAAAAAAAATGTGATTCTTAATTTTAATTAAAAAAAAATTTTTGGTGGTGGTGGGGTGGGGGTGACAGGGGCTTTGGGCCACACCCAGCGGTGCTCAGGGCTTACTCCTGGCTCTGCACTCTGGGATCACTCCTAGTCTTGGGAGACCATATGTGGTGCTGGGGATTGAACCCGGGTCAGACATGTGTGAGGTGTTACTGTCTCTCCAGCTGCCAAAGTACAGTTCTTAAAAGAAAAAAATCCAGCTTATAGAGAATCGGTCCCCTCATCCTGCTTGCGTCCTGGTTAATGACTGTCTGCCTCAGATGAGGTTAGAGCCCCCCCCACCCCAAGCCCCTGGAGAAGTCTGACACCAATCTACCCCCACCCCAAGGTGATCTGCTGGACCCAGTGAAGGAATTCTTGATATGAGCACCTGGGTGATAAGTGAATGTTTACCACGAATAATATAAGAAATCTTTTTAAGGTGGCAAAGGAAAAGACATTAAAAATTAAGAGTTGCGCATTTCTTTTAAATGCTTATTAGACAGGCCTGGCAAATAAAATTTGTTTTAAAGATAATTTTACACAAGGATTGCTTAGGCTAAAGCAAGGAATAATCCACAGAAGCCATGCAGTGAAAAGGTGAGTTACAGCAAAGTGACGTAAAGAAACAAATCTGAATAAGACTATGTAAGACCCCCTGACTGGCCCGAGTTAGGAAAACTTGAAAGCAAAACGTGGATGTGGAATTTTGTTCTTTATCCCTCACTTTCATAGCAGCCAGAGGTTTTGATTTTGTTGCTGTTGTTGTTGTTTTTGGGCCACACCCAGAGATTCTCAGGGATTGCTCCTGGCTCTGCACTCAGGGATTACTCTTGGCGGTGCTCAGGAGACCAGATGGGATGCCGAGGATCGAACCTGGGTCAGTATGTGCAAGTCAAGCTACCCATGGTATCGTCTCTCTAGCCCCAGCAACCAGAAGTTTCTGAAAGGGGTCAAAGATCCCAGGAAGGTTGATATGTCACCCCAAGAGTGCAGTGTGCGAATTTGAAAAGCAGGCTGTGATTTGCTGGCTCGTGAGGTCTCAAATGTCTGCAGGTTGGAAACCAAATGTCATTGTAATCGAGCCAGATGATGGATCTACAGAGAAAGGACCCCACGGGAGGGGTAGGTGAGTCCCCACCCCAATGCCTCTGCCCAGTGACTGGAAAAGCATCAGCCCCAGCACTGTGGGAGCACTCTCGGCGTCTATAACAGAGGGCTTATCCTGCAGAGCCCCTGTCTCCATGGAAAACGGGGCTCAGAGGTAGGATGTGGCTATATCAACCCTTCTGACCAAGTCTGACTGAAGGAATTCCCGGGGGACCCCAAGTTCTCAGCAGTGCTCTAGGACAGGAGTTCAGGACCCTTCAGGTGACTTGCGTGGGTCCAGGAAATCCCAGATCCTCTCCCCGCTGCTCAGATTAATGGGATGCTTTGTCAGTTTTAATCTCCTCTTGTGCAAAGACCTTCCTCCCCGCTCCCCCTTACATACGCTTCAAGCAATGGCGTCTCCAGGAGAAGTTGTGTGTTGGATCAAAGAGCAGAGCATCTCCTAGTGGAGGTGGCATGTGAGCAAACCAACCCCATGCAATCAAGTGTCTCCTTTAACAGGGCCAGGAGGCAGGGGTCTAGACAGGGAGGATCCCATGGGAGGGGTGGAATCTGAGTCCCCACCCCAATGCCCGATGATGCTCAGTGAATGGATAATGGATGGGGTCCGACTCTGGAAGGCCACACCACTTTCCTGCAGTTCTTTGTAAGGCTAAATGAACTCAGGGATGTCCTGTTTTGAACTCTGGCTTTTGGACCACAACCAGCTGTGCTCAGGGCTCCCTCCTGGCTCTGTGCTTAGGGGTCACTGCAGGTGGTGCTGAAGGACCAACCATAGATAGGGCCACAGGCTGACGGGGGAGGGGGAACCTTGACCTCGTACTATCTTATCTCTCTAGCCTCTGAATTCAGTTATAGAGCTTTGTCCCGTTCCTTAGGAGGACGAATCTCACTGCAGAATACAAAGCTGATTGATGAAGATCACGACCAAGTCTTGGAGGTGCTGGGCTTGGGAAATACCGCATTGGGGGATGAGTGCGATTGGGTAGGTGGGTGGAGAGGTTTCCTATTTTAGAAGATGCTCTGGGAACCTACTAAAGAGTTTTGGGGTGGGAACTCGTTGAGGATCTACTCAGGTCTCACAAAGGAGCTAATGTATTATTAAAGCTAATGGGCCCCTACATGGAAAGTTAATGGATATTAAGTTTGCTTAAATGAATCACATATTAACAAAGTCACAAAAAATCTACTATCTGCCAATTTAGATAATATCTGATCATTTCTGTTTTCCCATTATAGGGACATTACACCACAATAGTTTCAGCGATATGAAAATTATAAGCATGATGCCCATAATGAAGCTACATAATGAAGTAGATGAAACGAATTAATAAGAAAACCTGCATTATATAATGTTAAATTGAGCCCGGCTCCCAGCATAGGAGAAGGTAGGAGAGGAACGACCTTTGAAAAGCAACATTTGACAACTGAGGGTCGCCACGAGATCGAAAAGTCCCTAGAAGCAACTGCCACCACTTTTTTATGGCCCCCCCACTTCTCTTTTGCTGATGAACTGAAATATGAGATAAAGATGACAGCAGGTTGAATCCCCTCCCCTCCCCGCCCTCCCCCTCCCCACTCAGTCCCCGTGATACGCCCGCACCCTAATTCCTGGAACCCGTGGATGTGGCCTGATTTGGAAAAGGGGGTTTATGCACACACCGTTAGGTCAAGGGTACGGGAAGGGAGGTGTTCTGAATGCTTCGGGCGAGTCCTAAGCCCTCTAGCAAGTGACCTCACAGAAGCCACATGGAAAAGGGCAGGGAACTCAGAGACGCTGGACCGCAGGCTGGGGCAAGCTTAGACCTGACAGCTTGTGTGTTCATAAACAGAAGACGAGAAAGAGAACGACCGACCATGGGGCACTCTGAGGACACAACTGCACTCTCCAGGATCCAGCTTGTGCTGATGAGGCCATTAAGGGCGTGGCCCTGAGCCCAGAGAGTTCCACCATCGCTCTAATTTTAGCCAAAAGTGGGAGGGAAGGTGTAATTGAGAACAAAGTCCCGAGGCGGCAGGAAAATGCGAGGCCTCCTATGAAGATTCTGCACTTGGGATGGGGGGTTGGGCGGGGGGGATAAAGCAGGGGAATTAGCCTGGAATGGGAAGCTGGCACAGAAATGATAGTAGTCAATAGTCACAAAATGTAATTAAGTGGCGTGCAAGAACAGATTGAAATCATTTAAGGTTTTTACTCTGGGGTTAAATGTAGTGTTTCCAAAAATTCTCCTTGGCACACTGTAACATGGCAACATTTCAGTAAAATAATCCATTGAACACTTAATTTTTTTTTTTTAAACCAAAGGCTTATGAAGCCTTTTTAGGTGGATGCGATCCCATGCCCTCGGAATACGGGGCTGGGGTCCTCCAAAGGTTTGTGTGTTTCCATCTTCCCAAGTTCATACAGTGAAACCCTGATGTTCCATGAGACGGCAGGACTTCCAGAAAGTTCTTCCGTGAAGAGGGCAGAGCCCTCTTCTTTGGGGGTAAGATAATCGTGCTAGATAAGAGAAGCCTGAGTCCCTCCCACATGGGGGCATCTCCCCCCCACCCCCCGGCATGGCTGAGGGCTGGGGCACTGGGTATCACTGGCTCCTGGCCAGGTGGGTCCCTCACCCTGGATGTCTCAGCCCTGAAACTTTGAGGGGAAAATGTCCGTGATATATACATGCTGCTCTGGGGGGAGGGGTATTAAGGGAGGGGGCCACTTTGCCAGAGCACTGACCACTGCAAGCCGGGGACTCCCATTGCATGTCCAGGGACCCCCACTGCAGGTCAGGGACTCTCCAGTGTTTCCAGGGACCCCTACTGCATTTCCAGGTACCCCTATTGCAGGTCAGAGACTCTCCAATGTGTTTCCAGGTACCCCACTTCACACCCAGGGACCCCCACTGAACATCCAGGGACCCCCCACTGCATACCCAGGGATCCCCACTGCACATCTAGGGACCCCCACTGCACATCCAGGGATCCCCACTGCATGTCCAGGTACCCCACTGCAGGTCGGGGCTCCCTAATGTGTTTCTGGGGCTCCGCTGCGTGCCCAGGTACTCACACTGCACTTCTAGGTAGCGCTGCGTCTGCAGGTTCCCGGTCACGGCGGGGTGCTCCACCTGACAGATCAGGGGGACCCCGTCGTCCTCCTTGTGCACCTTCAGCATCAGCTGGCTCGTCACCGTGTACATGTCTGACCACTCCTCCACCTCCGACTTTCCTGGGGGCACAGAAGGCGGCAAGAACCAGAGCAGGGTGAGTTTCCGTCGCTCTGGGGGAGCATCCCCCCTCCCCTGCCCTCAACCTTGTGTTTCTAGTTTCATTTAGTTTTGGGGTTTGGGGGATCCTGGCGGTGCTGGGGATCAAACCTGGGTCGGACACCTGCAAAGCAGATGCCTTAACCCCTGGACTGTCTCTCTCCAGCTAACAGTATTGTTTTATTCACTCATTATTTGGGGACTGGGGATCACACCTGAAGGTGCTCAGGGCTTAGTCCTGCTGGGTACCAGGGATCGAATCTGGGTCAGCCTCGTGTGAGGCAAGGGCCCACCTGCTGATCTATTGCTCAGGACCCACCATATTATAATTTTCATGCAGGGCTGAGAGATCACTTTGGATGAGGTGATCTGCCAGTAGTGATACCGATACATGACAATGTCCTATTTTTCAACTCTGCAGCACCCTATTTAAGAAAAAAAAAAAAGCCATTCCCCGAAACAAGTTTTAGTTTAAATATATTACGTCTTTTTAATCCTACAACCACCCAGAGAGGGGGGGGAAAAAAAAACTGGGGCGGGGAGCTAGAACTTTCCTGGTTTAGACATTGGGAAGGAGGAAAGAAGAAACATTCTCACTCCCACAAACATCTAAACTTGAAACGTCTCCTAGGTCCGTCATGTGGCTGCAAAATCCCAGGACATCATCCAAAAACAAAAAAAAAAAACCCTAAGTAATTCAATCACTGATAGAGATATAAACAACCCCCTTCACCCACCCCCATTAGCAACAATTAAGAGGGAAAGTAACTAAATGGATTTACATAATTGAAATTGTAATTGAAATGTTTAAACTCTCAGACATTGGGAAGACCACAAAAAAAAAAAAAAGCAGCAGCCGGTGGGAAGAGGGAGTCAGATACAGGCTTGGGGCCAGATGGTGAGGCTGTCCAAGAACACGGGGTAGGGGGAGGCTTCCGGAGGGATGAATAGGCCCGGGCGGCCCCTTTCCTGAACCCCGGGCTTCCCGGGGACACAGCGCACCATTAACTTTCTTTTAATGTTTTGTACTTATCGGTACACATTTAATGGCTCAGCTCACTCAGAAAAGCAGAGTGGAAATGAGAAACTCCTTCCTTCCCCAGCCATACCTAGGCAAGAGGAGGCTGAGCTAGAGCTGGCTTCCTGCCTGGAAGCTGTTCTCCATATAGATGCATCTGTCCCGAGATGGAGATTTTCATCACCCGCACCCCTCTCTAAAAGGACCATTTTTTCCCCTATAGGCGCTCTGGGTTCACTCAACAAGCACAGACGCAGAACGGATTGTGGGTGAGACTATCTGGAGCACAAACATGCCCCTGTTTCCTCCTGGTAAGAATCCCCCAGTATGGAAAATAACCGATTCCTTTTTTTTTTCTTTACAAGGGGGCAATAGAGTGGTGCTCAGAATCCACTGCCACCCCACTTCTCCCCTTCCCCCGCTCCTCCAGGGGCCTTTTCTGGTGACACACGTCCAGCAGGGCTGCTGACTCAATACTGCTATGTTGGGGATCTCTAGGGCTACTCTTGATGATGCTTGGGAGGCCAGATGGTACCGAGGATTGAATCTGGGGTGGGCTCAGGCCCCCGGCACTGCCTCCCCAGTCCTCACCTCATCCCTTGAGAGACAGAGATACAGCTCAATGGCAGGGGCACCCAGACAGAAATACACCAAACAGCAGGGGTGCTTGGCCTCTGTGCAGGGCACTGCCCGTACAGCAGTCTTGGAGAAGAAGGATTTGAAAGTGGGCATCAATGAGGGATGCAGGACAACTGGCAACAAAGGGTCCCACGGAGACGGGCAGCATCCAGGATCAAGGTCACAAGCACCAATCGTCAGTGTCCAGGACCGTGGGGGTGAGGGCACGGGGTGGGGGGCACACACAAAAGGGAGCCCAGCTTCACTGAGTGACCCCTAGTGCTGCCGGCACAGCATCAGCTCTTTGCCAGAGAACAGGCCTGAGAAAGGGCAGCGCAGTGTCGGGATGATGAACTCAGGGGCCCCACAAAGTCAAAATGATGATTGGATTCTTGGCCCACTTAGAGTGACCCCCGCCCCCAGGAAGGCATGTGGCCAACACAGCCGACAGTGCAGCGACTTGGGATCGGGGAGCGGGGGGCATAAGGTCTCTCTTGGGAATGGGAGTGGGGGGGGACTGCCACATACTGACAGATCTTGGGGTCACCCGAGTGGCGCTCAGGGGACTCCGGGATCCTCCCAGCAACTTTCCACCAGCTGGGTGGATGATTCGACGATCCAACTGGGTGGATGGTTCGACACTCCAGCTGGGAGGACAGCCTGAACTCTCGGTGCCCAGTGAACCCCTAGGGACAGGTGCCGCCAAGGACTGAACCAGGCCCAGTCCCTTTCTGTGCTACCTCTCTGGCCCACATCCACTTTGAACGTGCCAACATGAGAACTGCACATTCTGCAAAAGGCAGAACGGAGGGTCAAAGGGTGCCAGGAAGGGCCACCTGACTGTCGCTCTCCCTGGCTGACAGAGTGAATGGACAGGCCTACTCTTTGGGGCCTCAGAGTGAAAATCAAGGAAACACAGATCACCATGTGGCCTCAGAGTGTGGACAGAGGACATAAACGGGAAAAGCTAAACTGTGCCTGTGTCCACGAGTGGGAAGTGCTGCCAGCAACATAGAGAGCGTACTTCTGGGCCCGGAGTGTTTCGTCTTTGTCTGTGACTTCCACACTGGCACAACCCCGCAACTCCTTCAGTGCAGGGCGACGCCGGGGCCTCACCTTTGAGCTCCTTGTTCCCTTTGAACCACCTGATGGTGGTGGCTGGCTTGCTCGCCATGGCAGTGCAGTTCACTTCGATCTCCTCTCCTTCCACGGCAGTGTCCTTCTGGATATCGATCATCAGGTTCCGTGGCGGGACTACAAATCAAAACAAGCATGTTTTGAAACACAGGGCATGGTTTCGGGGATCTGCTCTTCTTAACCCTTGAGAAGCAGGCGTGGACACGGCTCCCGGTGGGAAATCGAAACTAGCCCCAACACGCGGCTACCACAGAGACCAAAGTGGGAGTACAAAGTCATCATCCAATCAAGTGCAATTATGCAAGGATCATGTCATTTAGATGTTCTCTTCGAAAATGATCTTATCAGGTCCCCCGTGAAGTTATCAGTGACCAAGTCATACCACTCTAGATGACAGATTAGCTCTCAATCGAAAGTATATTTAGGAAAAGGAATGCACACCCATAAATTATCCGCCCTACCTGGAAGTCCCTGAAAGGGATAGTTTTCATTGAACTCGACCCTTGAATTTCAATTTTCATATGAAAGATTTCAATGTGAACCAGCAAAGATCAAAAAACTTGGAGCCCCTTAAAAGAATCACTCACCATAAACACACAGGAAAATTGTGCCTCAGAACCAGTTCCATTCAATTAAAATTATTCACAGAGAGCTAGAATTTACTCATAACCTCCAAAGGATGGCGCAGTTAGAAAATCCTTTGGATATGTAGATGAAGGACTAGAAAATGCCAGTTAATTTTGCAGCAATTTCCCATATTATGGAATCCAATTCTTCAATTTTGGAAGTCAAGGGTGAAAAATATGGTAAAGTGCTTACCAGCAGATTTATATATCCAAATTAAAACCATTCTGTTCGAAGCATATTAAACATATGTGTTCTCAACTGGGAGGAGGCAATACCGAGCCTCACGTTAAGAGTATGGTGATGATGATAAAGAAAAATTATCTTTCATAAAATTGAGTTGACTGAAAACTTTGTAAGGCACGGTCTCACCTCAAGACAGAGCATCTTGAAATAAAAGCCTGTCAGAATATCAAATTCAGGCGAGTAAACCTAAGAACACATGCTCTGACCACCGCGAGGAAGCTGCCCGTTCTGAGAGTGATGATTAATACGGTTCTCAACGCGGAAGAGAAACAAGAAATTAAATATGTATAAATATGCCATCCCGATGATCAAGTTGAATAATAAATCTCTGATACCGCTTCAATAAATTATGGGATTAAATCACGTATTTGGGATTTCCAACCGTTCTAGTCCAGTGCGAAAATGATGCCAGAGGAGGGATTTGACTGAAGCAGTTGAAAACTCCTAGAGAATTATGGCAAGGGGAAAGGAGAGCGATTTGCAAGCGCTGCTTCTGCTTCTCGGGGAGAGCGTGTGGTGGGAGTGGGCTTTAACTATCAGAGCAGAAGCAGCCTCGCCTTGTTCCAAAACAACACATTTGTGCTACTGGATGTGCTGCTCCAGTGATACGGCCCAAATGAGCAGTTAAACATGGCAGAGAGCTAGCCCCGCTTACATCTGAAGAAAAATAAGCATAAAGAGAGATGGTCGAACATCCAATTTGGATGCCGCACATCTGCCAGCATTTTAAGAGACATAGAAAGGCAGTGACAGAACTAAATGGGCCGACTTCGGCTCCTGCCTCCCTCCCTCCACGTTGTCTCGCTGCTAGATGACAATCAGCTGGGTTATACATTTTCATCACACACTCCTAAAGAGATGAGAGGGATCCACCGAGAGAGATGTTTAGCAGCAAGGAGCACGGCTGAATTCTGAGTGCCGCCTAACAGGAATATGGAAAACGATGCTATTCCCAGAGCAAGTGTCAGAGGAGAGAGCTGTCCAGGTCTAGAGAAATTGAGATCTGGGTGGGCTGTGAGGGACAGAGCGAGAGGGATAAAAAGGAAACTGCTAAGGAGGGCAGACCACTAGGCGAACGAAGGTGGCCAGGGCAAACACACAAGAATCATGCCCTTCCAGGTGGAGCCAACAACAGGAAGAAAGTGACGTGGTCATTTCCGAGGATAAGCAATGATGTGAACTGGCTCAGGGAGCCAGTGGGAGACCGTTCCATTTAAGGACACTCAGAGTGCAGGACAGAAAGCTCAGGTGAAGAAAGGTGGTCTTCTTCGGAAATGCTGCAGAGGACCAAGTTACCTCAAGTTGCCATGATGGGGTCGGAGGGAAGGTCCAGTGGGAAGGGCATTTGCCCTGAACAAGGCCAACTTGGGTTCAATCTTCAGCACCCCATATGGGCCTGTGAGCCTGCCAGGAGTGATCCCTGAGTGCAGAGTCAGCAATAAGCCCTGAGCACTGCTGGGAATAGCCCCCAAAGAGACAAAAAAAAAAGTCACTGTGATAGAAAAGGTCATTCCTGGGAAGGATATAGATTGGAGTAGGCCAGACCTCATGTTCACTCTGGGGAAAATGGCTTTATGGTCACTTGGTGCGAACTTGGGAAGTTTCGTGAGGGGCACAGATGCAGGACTATTAAATGACTGCAGTTATGTCAAGGATGGTCTCTCTCGAGTATTCCTGTTCTGCATTCTCTCCCTTTTCGTGGGGAGCCTGAGGACACATGTGGTTTCCCCACACAGGCTACTCCGAACCTCCATGCCAATCCCTCTTTGGTGGCACTTCTTGTGGAAGACATATTGATCTCTTCCATAAGCTGAAGATGGTCAGGAGCGTCCAGCACACTAAGGATGGTCAGGAGCGTCCAGCACACTGTTCCCACATTAGGAATAACGCCCACAGGTGTGGGTCTAGGTATGTCCCCGAGAAAACTGGTCCATGTCTCTTGATTTTGTTGGGGTTGCTGAGAGGATGACTGGCAGTAAAGAGGTTCAGATTTAGATGATCTATTTGGGGGTGCTCATCGGAATCCCTCTTCTGTAGTAGCTGATTTTCTCTACAGTTCCCTTCCCCTTGTGAGTGACTCCCTGACCAACAGCCAGCTTGCAGGATTAGTGTCCTGAAGAGATGTCACCTTTAACCTGATGGCTAGAGTACACAAGTGGAAAACATCAACATGTTAGGAAGATGACTAGAAGTAGGCAAATGAGTTATTTCCACGCCCGTGATTTGCTCAAGATTGTGGACAATATGTCTGATTCTGACTGCAATGAGAAGAAACAGTCATGTGGACGTGGGAGTTGTTTGGTGTGCGAATATAAAATAAAACTGGCAAGCATGAGTCATAGTGGTTCGCTGATGTCAGTTAGAAAGTTGATTTTTCTCGTGGGTTTTTTCTTTCTATTTTTTTTTAGGACAAGAAAGCGTTGGAAAATGTTAATGAGGTGACTTGAGTCTCTTTCTTTGGAATGGAAAAAGGGCAGTGGGACAGGAAAACTTCAAAGTAAATTTTTGTTTTATAATTCTGTGCTGTTTTCCATTGAGCATCCTAATGGGAAAACTCTAAGACTCAAAGAGTAAAGTGTAAAAAGTCATGTGTAAGAAGAAATGAATTAAAATTGCCACTAATCAGAGAGTATGCTTCTACATGGGTAGACTAAGACACAGCTAAAGCTTCTGCAGCCATTAGTGAAAATGGTCACAGTTACACTGAAGGAGGTAGATATTCTATATAGATGAAAATCTGAATGAGAGTCACACAGAAGGAACTACTAGGAAATAGCGAAGAAAGAGAACCTCAAGTCTCTAAGTGTGCTAATTATAAACATAACGCCTACAACGTTTTAAAAAATCAGCAATATCAAGATGAGTCATGTTAATTACTACAAAAGAGTCTTAAAGCTGATCAGTACGTGAAATCTTACTCCAAGACCCTTAAAAATAATTGGGTTCTCCTGCTCCTGGAATCTTAAGAGCTAACACTAATTTTAGAAGGACAAAACTGTAACAATATTACCTACTATTATCACTAACTATGTTAATCTTAAAGAAACGGATTCTCTCATATGTTCATCTCCTCTCATTAACACTAACAAAGCCCTCCATGATGAGCTACAGAAAGAAACAAACTCAACCCACATGGAAGGAGTGAAAAAATCCCTTCACAGCACCCAAATGCACTGGAAACATTATAAGCACGTTTTTACATTGGTAAGAACATAATAGAACCCAACAAATACTCATCTTGATGTCTGATATTATGCCAAAATTTTTGCTGAATGTTTCAAACAACTCATAGGACACATGCACTACAAGAGTATTTTCCACCAATCAAGAAGAGGGGCAGCTGTGTAAGTACGTGCAGAATCCTTTTCAGAGAACTCGAGATGGAAATGAAGACGCTAATAGATTGTTCTTCATGCCTTTTAATATCTGAAAACTCTAAACCTTAGGAAAAAGGTTTAAATGCATGAACATCAGAGGAAATTGTCAGATTCCGGAATATGAAAGACTCAAACACTGATGACAACAATTTCACTCCGTCAAGGAATCCTAGAGTAAATTCAATGGAAAGAATATTAAATGAATGCATAATATCTACAAAAAGAGTATCGAGGCGTATTACTTTCAAGTATATTTAACTTAATGCTCCTATACAATACAAGCACAAGGCTAATATTTCTAGAATAATCGGAGTTTCAAAAGAATCCCAAGCATATTGCCTTTCCAAAGTCTAGTGCAGGGATGTGCCACAGGGATGTGTATTCAGCCAACCAATGGCCCAATCCAGCAGATCTAAGGACAAAGGAACCAGACGCTAAAAGATGACAAGCAGGAACTGCTTGCCACTGGCTAGATAGGATCCTGGAAACAAAAGGGATGCTCATTGAGGTGAGTGGGGAGCAGGCTGGGGGCACCTTAAAAAAGACAGCATTCCGATTTTCTTGACAACAGCCCAGACCACGAGACTCAGAGGCTGTGAAGTGGAATGGTCAAGGCTATCATGAAGTCTGTGGTTCTTGATGTGTGCTGTTGTAACTCTATAACTCGGGCAGGATGACTAATCTCTGTTGATGTGCTTTCTGGAAGGCAAGAAATTCATACTTCAAGGCACATGCAGTGAAACATTCAGAACACTCGAATCTCAAAGTCTATTCTCTGTTACGGCTGTCACTTTTGTGGGAGGGCCGTAGAAAATCTGAAGTCCAAGCAGCTAGAGACCAATCAGCCCCAGTGGCTTCAAACACTTCTATACAACAGCAGCACAGAAACACTTGTTGGCGAGAGTGGCACGTCTGCAAAACACCAAGACAGTCATCCTAGGAAACCCTGCCTTGCTTTTCTTTTCTTCCGCAGGTCAAATAGGAATTAAAGAGACAAGAATATGCATCCGAGAGCTGTCAGCGTCAACACAGATCGTGTGAGAAATTTTACCAGTCATTGAACACGGCTTTTAAAAAAATCAGTGTTTCTCCTCATCAAGAAGCTATATGCACACCTAAGGGATATGTTTTAGTTTAATGAATTAAAAAAAATTTTTCCTTTTACAGCTGTGTTTAAATAAAGTAATGAGGCAGAAGCTCCATATGTCCATCCGTAAATACATATACGTCCAGACAAACCAAGCCCAAATGTCCTTCATTTTGATCTCTCCTCTTTAATCTTCATATCATTACACGGGAAAGCTTCAGCCTGCCGCGTCAAATAGACTTTGATTCATCATCTTCCTGAAGGTGTAAATCAGAGATCTTGCCTCACGCTACAGGGTACGTCCTTGAAAACTCAGTTTCAAAAATCCTAACCAGCTGGTGCTATGCACAGGCGTTATGTGCTTGTCTAAGAGGTAACTTAACTTGGACCACCTCCGAAACTATCTGCTGACTCAAATAAACACATAACCATGGGGACCCAGTGACTGGGAGTTTGCTGAAAATCACAGTCTGGTGGGCAGAAATGAAGACACTGCACGCTCATGAAAGGTGGACTGGGCAGCCTGTCAACTGCCCATTGCTAATTATTGGTCATCGTTCCCTCGAGCCAACAGCTCTTGATTCTTGGACGTCCAATGGTGGCAGCAATTTGTGGCAACGAATGTGTTTATATGGTTTGCTTTTTACAGCCTCATCTAGAGTTGAAGCAATAAACAAGGGAAGGAGCACAGCCAAAGGAAGAGGATCGACAATATTAAACGGGATGTAACTCAGAAGGAAAAAATCATTAAGCGGATTTCATATCAGAGCTCTGCCACGGGGTACAGATGTGGGAGCCTGCCTCCCCTTCTCCTGTACAGAAGGGGAAAAAAAATTCCTGGGACTTAGAAGCAATGACATTTCACGTGGTGAGTGATTCATTGGAGGGCTCTAAATTCTCTTGATCTTTGCTTCTGAAGCATAAGGGTTGAAACCCAAGAGCAGGTGGAATCTATAAAGACTGCTGATTGCCATTCCTTAGAGTGTTTGGTGAAATAGGCTATTTTTAAAATTCCGCAAGATGGGCGGTGATTCCTCACCCCCCCCCCCCCAAAAAAAAACCGAGTTTGAACAGTAAAATTTACCATTAACCTTTTCCTGGCTGCCGGAAGCCATCTGGTGGCAGAAGCCAGAGAGCCCCTCGGGTTCCCCAGGCCACCCGCGGGGGGAGAGAGCCCCTTACCCAGCACTGTGATGGTGGTGTAGCTCTCCTGGGGGGGGTCAGTGTAGAGCTGGCAGAAGTACCTTCCTTCGTCAGAAACGGAGACATTTGTCAACGACACTTTGAGTTCGCTGCTAGAGAAATTCAGCAGCTGAAACCTGCTGTCCTTCAAAGCTGTGAAGCAAAGCACAGAGGTGGAGTTGGGGAGAGAGGGGGGTCCAGTGCCATCTGCCCGCCCTCCCCGATGAGAGGGATGCTGATGACCCAGCAAAGGCAGCTGCGGCGCAGAAACCCGATGCCCAATCTCTTGGTCCCTGTTGGGTGCTGCTATCTGCTTCCCAAGTCACTAGTTCAGCGTGGGCAGTAGTTGCCTTCTGATGAATTATCCTGTTCAAATGGAATCCCCAGCACACCAGTGCAGATGTACACACGGCGCATACCCACGTGTGCATGCACACATGCTCCTGTGTCAAGCGCCATCAGGCCCTTTTTCATACGTTGTTTGGGCTTTGTTTGCTTTTGAACCACATACAGCGGTACTCAGGGCTTACTGTGCTCAGGGATTACCCCTGATGGGGCTCCGGGGACAGAACCAGGGTCAGCTGCAAGCAAGGCTCAAGTGCCTTAGCCATTGTACTAATCCTCTGGCTCCATTTGTCTGGATTTTCTTTCGGAAAGAGGTAACAAAGATAAGGGGCGAGGAGTCCCACATGAGTCCTAAATATTCAGGGAGCAGGACCTATAGGCCGTTAGGTCATCCCTAAAGAAAGTGGAGGTCTGGGGCTGGTGAGCTCATACAGCCTGTCAGGCATTTTCTTTGCATGCAGCTGATGTGGGTTTGATCCTGGCATCCAATATGGTCCCCTGAGCACTGCCAGGAGTTGATTCCTGAATGCAGAGCCAGAAGTAACCCTTGGGCATCAATGGGTCTAATCAAAAAAGCCAGAAATAAATAACTAAATAACTAAAATTAAAAAATAAAAGGCAAGTGAAACAGGGCCGGAGAGATAGTACAGCAGTACAGCAGGCAGGGCACTTGCCTTACACACATCCATGGGGATTTCCACTTCCGGCATCCCACATAGTTTCCCTGAGCCAAGCCAGCAGTGATCCCTGCGTGCAGAGCCAGGAGTAACCCCTGAGCATCACCAGGCGTGCCCCCAAACCCAAACATACAGAAAAAGTGGAGGCCTTAGGATGATGGTGGTTTTAAATGATGAGAGAAGATTAGGATATCACCCTCCATTCTTTCAAACGCTTGAAAAAAATCCCTTAAAACGTTTCATCAAAAAATAATCCCATTGAACCTGGAATGCGTGTGTCTGCGTATCTGGTTTGAGCAAAGATTGGACCACCAGCCTGACATCTGCCAGGTCATTTGATCCAGCACCAGAGCATCAAAGTGACAACGCCCCCACGGAAGCGCCCTCGGTAGGAGCTGCTTCTTGGGCTCTGCCCTGGCAGGAATCACGGCACAGACCAGAAGCCCGCCTAGGCTAGCCTTAGACTTCCTTGGCAGAGGAGGTGGCAGTCTCCTCCCTGTCCCTTCCTCCACCTCCCAAGTGAGTCTCTAGTCCCTACAGGTTAGGGACATTCTGAGGGGTCAGGGAGAACCGGTCAGACAGATTCAGAGAGACACCTGCGTTGGTTAGGCACCAGTGCCTCCGAGGCTATCTTCGGAGCCTTGGGGCTTGCTTTATTTGAACACCGCTGGGAAGCACAAGCGCTGGAGTCTGAGTAGTGGATTTCTTGTGGCCACATTTGGAAAGATCTAGTGCACGGCTCCCTGGGGCTCTGGCGAGGGGGATGGGGTGGTCGGTTGACTGGGCTTTGTCTCTCTATAGACCCAGATTGCCGGGGCGACTTCAATCTGCAAGCCAAACAGATTCCCTTTCTGCGCGGTCTATTTTCCTTGCCTTTCCCCCAATTTGAGTTGTTTGGTTCAGCTAAGTATTTGGGACTCAATTGCAATTCACCTTGAATTACTACAATCAATTCCTATTGCAAAGCACGACAGCCTTACTTTTGAAAGAGACCATTCACGGTTTCTATTAAGTAGAAAGATGATGATTGCATGTCTCTTTTTCCTGCTGAAGAATTGACTAAACTTTCAGCATCTAACACTAAATTAAAAAAAAAAAGAAAAAAAGGAGGCCAGAGCAATCTCTTTATCAAGACAACAAGTTGGGGGTGGGGGTGGGGAGGGGGGGAAGTTGGCCATCTACCGCAAAACCGGGGTGGAAACTTACGCCTGAAGTCCCGGAAATAGATAGTCTGCCTGTTGGGATTCAGGAGTTGAATTACAGAGTCGTCACTCTTATTGACTTGGCAGCTGATGGTCGCGACTTCTCCCTCAATCACTGTCACGTCTTTTGTAAACAAATTCTGTCCATCACCTATCGGGGAAGAGAGAAAAAGAACAAGAAGGCCACCAATTAAATTCTGGTTAATGGCATTCATGAAAGTGAGAAACTGAAGTGTGTCAGCAGTAACAGGCCACACGGCTGGCAAAAGTCCCTCCACTAGCCCATCAAAGGCGCCTCCATCACAGACCGATCCAGCAGTCACCTATGTTGAAACCCAACCTGGACGCGCTCTTAAGAGTTGGGAAGCCAACCTGGCCACCACCGCCACCTCCAGTACCGAGCACAGTGGAGGGTCCTCACACTTGGGGACGGGCAGACTCTGCCCTTTAGCTGTGTTGGTCACCTTGCAGAAAACTCAAGGGGTCACTTCACAGAAGGAGGCTCAGCCATCGAGCCCAGCTTGTGAGGGGAGAAGCCATGGACGCGATTCCGAGGCAGCTGGGAGACACAGCCCTGATCGACGATGACTCTTTGGCCAAGGCCCGGCAGGCTTCTCGTTTGAGAACTGGCTTCCGGAACGCCCACCCCCATCACAGAAGCCCCTGGCGCCTCTACAGCAGGCCCCGTCCTTGAGTGGGCCCACGGGCAGCCCTCCTGGAAATGGCTTTCAGACGGCGTCGGAGAGTCAAGGCTCTCAGACCCATTGATAGGAGGCTTATCTCCAGCTACGCTCACGTTTGTTGCTCCGAAGCTGAGCGACAATGGCCCGGGCACCTCATAAACGTCCTAAATGATCCACAGCACAGGTAGAAGGAAAACAGAATTCAATTCGGGAGCAAAGGATGAGGCAATTGTCGAGTATCCAATTCTGCAGTTGGCATAGTAGGGGACCGAGAAATAGATGATATTGGCCTAGACCTTAAGAAGCCGAAGTGGGGGTGGGGGATGGGGGTGATGGGGAGGGGGCATGGGTGTGTAAAAATTACAACAGCCCCCAATCACAGAACAAAAAGTGTCCGAGGGCACAACGTAGGCTGGCTAGTCAGGAAGGGGGAGAGAAAAGTGATTTTTTCTGGAGATGTTAGAAGGGTAGGTTTGGGGCCACATTCAGTGGCACTCAGGGGCTATTCCTGGTTCTGTGGTCAGGAGTGACCCCCCCCCCCCCGCCCCGGTATTAAACAGAGCATCATATCAGAGTGGCTCCCGATGTTGAACGGGGTATCACAGAGCAGTGACCCCCAGTATTGAACAGAGCATCATATCGGAGTGACTCCCGGTGTTGAACGGGAGATCATATGGGGTGTCAGGGATTCAAACTGGGGTCAGCAGCTGCAGGCAAATGCCTTCACTTCTGCGCTCGATCCCTGGCCCAGAAAGCCTGCATTTTCGCTGTCTGATCTTGGGGGAATGATTTAAAATCCCTGACTCAGCTTCCCTCCTGTAAAATGGGGAGAGGAATGAAGAGCCACCATCATGCTAGGAGAGTGCTGGGGCCAGCGGGAGGGCTAAGAGAAAGAACTTGAAGCAGTCAGCAATGTGTCTGAGCCTCTCAGAAAGCCGAGCAAATGGGAGTTGCTACCCAAACCATCACCAGATCACCAGGACTTCTCTAGATGTCATCTGAATAGGTATTAAGCCACCATGACATGCATGGTGTGTGTGTGTGTGTGTGTGTGTGTGTGTGTGTGTGTGTGTGTGTGAGAGAGAGAGAGAGAGAGAGAGAGAGAGAGAGAAGGTAGGCTCACAATCCTCTTAAGGAACTCAATAGAAAATTATCTATCAATTATCAATTCAGGCTGTCTTACTCCTTCTCTGAACAAGAACTTTGTCACATGAGCCACAAAGGTTAAAGAGAAATACTACTGGGGGGGGGGGGGGGTGAGGAGGGAGAGAGAGAGAGACAGAGAGACAGAGAGAGAGTGAGCGCATAAATAGAGATGCAATTAGAGCACAAGGAGGATTTCCACCTGCTATCATATTTCTGCTGAAGGACCCTTTTTTGGCAGGACACAGTGGGGAAGCAGGAGCAGGGGTGTTTAAAATGGCTTTAAGCCAAATCCACCTCAAAATAGAGCCGCCGCTGGTAGAGGATTAGAAAGGAGAAACGAGAGGGATCAGGGAAATTTATCAGAGTCACAGATAAACAAAAATCTTGGTGCTCGAGAAGTAAACCCAAATGAACCCCAACCTCCAGCTCCCCGGTGCAGGGAATTAAGCAGGGGTGAGGACTCAATCTCTGGGGCTCGGCATAAGCCAAAGGGCACATTTGCCCCGGCTTGATCCAAGGGACGCTCGGGGGAAGGAGCGGCCCTGAGCAGAAGGACAGCAAGAGGAAAAGTGCTCAGGAAAGAAAACGAAGGCTGATCATTTTTTTTTTCCCCTCTCTGTGGATTAATACGACAAACACAGAATTCAGAGTCTTGCTGACAGGAGCGGCTAATGCTCATATTTGAGCAGGGAACAAGAAGAAGGAAACTCCTGCCAAGCAAGCGAGGTGGTTTGGCTTCAGGTAGGCACAGAAAGGACAATACCCTTATTTCCTCGGGTGAACCAGGCCGCCAAGAGCACTAAGGAGGAATCAAACGGGCCCCATTCAAAATGCGACTGCTGTCTGTTGTACGTCATGGGACGTACATGAGGCCCCAGAGAGCCTCAGGCACCACAGGGAGCCTAACAAGCGGGAGCAGGGAGTCTTCCAGCGGAAGGATGCCTCTTCGAGACACGGACGGGTACAGTCACGTCCGAACGAATGGGGCCGTCCTCTCTCCGCACCAGAACTGACCTAACAAGAGGCCCCTTTGTACACAGCCTCTCAGTAAGTCCTGAGTAGCACATTCTACTTCTATTTTTTTTTTATTAAGGAACTATATTTTACCGGCTGGAGCGATAGCACAGCGGGTAGGGCGTTCGCCTTACAAGCGGCCAACATAGCCGACCCGAGTTCGATTCCTCCGCCCCTCTCGGAGAGCCCGGCAAGCTACCGAGAGTATCTCGCCTGCCCGGCAGAGCCTGACAAGCTCCCCGTGACGTATTCGATATGCCCAACACAGTAACAACAAAGTCTCCAATGGAGACGTTACTGGGCCCGCTCGAGCAAATCGACGATCAACGGGAGGGCCATTGATAGTTGAGTTTTAGGCATATAACATTTCAACACCCAACCCTCCACCACTTCCCTCCACCAGAGTTCCTGTGTTCTCTCCTCAACCCCCACCCACCCCCACCCTCACCTGTCAACTTGCCAGGCACATTACAAAGTTCCAGTGGTTTCAGCTTGGATCTCCTGTTTTCAGTGTTGTTGAGTGTTGAGTTTGGGATCCACAGCTGTACCACTCACCGTGTCCCGGGTATAACTGAAGCTGGTGCCTGTTCACCCATTCCTTCCCATTCTCTTCCCCCCGCCTTGATTTCTTTCTTTCTCCGCCCTTCTCCTCTCTAAACACTGGGGTCAAGGGTGATCTTGGCCTCCTTCTTTTACTACAGTACACTTCCCCATCCAGTATTCTCTAGGCCACAGACAGACAAGTGAGATCATCCCAAACACATGCTAGTTCTAGGAAGCTATTAGAGCATCTACATAGGAGGTAGAGCCAAGAAGTGGTAATTATGGTCATCCCTGTGTGTTTGAAGCATTGAAAAACAGTAAAACAGTGTCAGAGTTTTTATTTCTTTTTTTTTTTCTGCTTTTTGGGTCACACCCAGCAATGCTCAGGGGTTACTCCCGGCTTGCACTCAGGAATCACTCCTGGCAGTGCTTGGGGGGCCATATGGGGTGTCGGGGAGTGAACCCGGGTCAGCCGCGTGCAAGGCAAATGCCCTACCTGCTGTGCTATCGCTCCGGCCCCGAGTTTTTGTTTAATAATAATAAAAAAACAACAACAAATGCACATACACATGTGCACGTGCACACACACAACACACACACACAAAGAAAAATCCTAAATTATTACTTAGAGTCAAGAGTACGAGTTGGCTGGATGGCAGCACGGGGTTACTAAGGGGCCAGTGGCTCAGAGCAAGTTTTGGCCCCCTGCCCAGTTTCGCCCAGCGGGTACTTGGGCATGTGACAAGCTCTCCAGTGGGACACCATCACAAGGCCAGGATTTTTGGTACAGGTTAAGGCCAACCCAAAACCCAAGTCTTAGAAAACGCTGCTCCCAAGCACTGCTAACGTGGCTTCATAGGGATGTGAAGAAATTATGAGTGATAATGAAATATTTTGCTGAAAGATCTCGAAATGCCTTAGCTTGTGGTGGTAGCCCAAGGATGTCAGTCTGTAACAATCACCAAGAAATTATACGGGTCAGTTGGAAAGCAGTTCTATTAAGCAGAGCTCGGGACTCTGAGGCACCGAGAGATGGCTACAATGGAATAATAATGACCTATTTATTTGAGGCATAGAAAGTGAATGACAGGGATGGAAATACGATATGTATGTCAGTACTCTTAACTGCCTGAAGCCTTGATGTAAAAATAATTTCTGCTCACATCCTCGAATATTTCTTCCAAAGAGAAGGGTGCACTGCGACGTGATAAATTTCCCCCTTGAAAGAGATATCATGACAATTAGGTTGTTATAAAACACAATTTGATGTGTAACGGGAGGGATACAAACAGGCTTCTTGGGTGCCTTTCTGAAATAAGTTTCAAAAAGAAAAAAAAAACAGAAACAAACAGAAAAAAAAAAAAACCTTTTCAGATTTTCCTAAAACTCAATTAAGCAGATCTACTGTCATGGCAGAAACAGCACCTGTTCTGGGTGAAGGAAATCAAGTAGGCACAATAGAAGGATGCCACTAAAGGCGGCTGTGAGCGGCCAGGTGATGGCAGGGCGGAGCAGGGTCTGACACGCACAGACTTTTTTGACTGCTAATTGGGATTTCTGGGTGAGAGAGAGGAGAGAGTGAGAATCAAACGGGAGTTTTAATTTCTCCCTCTAACTCTATTCCTCATGTCTTCCCTAGTTGCCCTCAAACTTCTCAAGATGCAACTCCGGCACTGCATTCAGGGACTTAAACTACAAGTTCTGCATCACCAGGAAGAAGTAGTATAGACTCCAGAAAGAGAAAACCATGCATTTTGGTGGTTAG